AAGTACAGAAGCAAAGTTCCAGCAAGTGGAGAAAAAAGTGAAATGGAAAAGCATTAAGTTTCAGAGAAAGGCATCAACATACCTTTTCTGAGATTTGATGGAAAGAAACAAGAATAGAAGCATGCACACATTCACTAAAGTGAGGAAAAAGTGAGGCTGCTCTTGCAAAATGGCTTTACTTTCTCAACTGGTTGAAAGGGATCATTCGCCTAATACTTGCAACTCTTCCGAGTAATCAGGCTAACGCTTTGCTGGTTAACACCAACGTCTAAAAGGTTAATGGAAGAGGTATTACATGCACAAATAATCTACACCATAATCAGGAATAAGTTATCAACTTTTCAAATATGGAATTTGCGGGAGAACAGACTCTTAGGATCAACCCTGGGCTCAGAGATCACCTTTAAGCCATTCAGAAAACACTGAGCTCTAAGATTCACACTCTCATCCTCTTCCATTTTCCAAAAGAGGTAAGGTCTGACAGCTGACCGAGACAAGTGTCTGATAAATGCAAAGACTCTCTACCTTTATTCTATTTGTCTGGCTAATAGATGAGTGGGTGAGAAGATGTGAATAAACTGGTCATTTGAAATGTAGCTCCCTCATGTTGTCTTTACATTCATTTCCCACTGATTCACTCTTTCTCAGCTTCAACCTCATGCACTAATTCTCAATGTTCCATGTGATTTGAGAGCCTTCACTGCTGTTCCATGAGATTTTGCTCCACCAGGGAAAGCCCCAGGCTCTTAACTGTCAAAATCGACTTCACATAAATCATGTTCTTAACAAACAATCCCCAAACTCCCAACAACGCCCCTTGGTATCACTTAAACATCTACACTGTATATGTCTGAACTTTCTTGCTGGTAACAAGGACAGTCCCTTCCTTAGGCAGCAAGACAATCGTGTGTTGTATCCAAGGTCAGGAACAAAAATGATAGGTCAGTTGTAAAGAATGTCATATGTGCATACATGCCCAAGCACGTGTACGTGTGTGTGTATGCATATATTCATCTTCAGGCATGAATAGAATAATCATGTAACTTTTATATATAAAATATCAACTTTGCATTTTTCTTATGAATACTTCATTTCTATAGATCGACATGAAATCGTGCCATTCATTAAAAAATGTAAGTGATTTTAAGAGATTTATAGGGCTTTTTTAACCCCGGGAATCTAATCTGCATCAAATCTACATTTTGCTTTTTGTATTTTGTCATTACCATTTTTTTTGCTACTTGTAATTTCTTAATTTTTCATTTTCTAGTAAATGCTTTACACTTCAACATAAATTGCTAATTCAGAGACTGCTATGAAAAAGAGAAATTCTTCTCGCTTAAATAAAAAGAGGAGCAGATATTTGGCAATGGGATAGAGCATAAATTATACTCTATCTATCCAGAAGGGTTAAGACCAAAGAATCTGCTTGCTTATTAAAAATGCAAACATTACCTCAGTCATCCGAATAGCCACAAATTCGCCCGCCACTGCCTCTGCAGATCACCCACCAGCTTTAGCATTACATCACATGACATTACAGAACAATAGTGAACTCTGTGTATTACTTGGATATATTGTTTTGAAAGAATAAACTGTCATTAACTTGAATAAAAAGCTTTCTGAAATCAAACCTGGGGGGTACAGCCCTCACTGTGTGGCCTTTCTACTACTTTGAGAAATAGCCTCATCCTGAAAGCAGTAAAGGGCGAAAAAAGAAAGTAGAGTATAAAGGCGACAGTGATGAGTGGCCCTCCAGCCGCCCAGCAGGCAGGCGGCAGAGCTCTAAATCACCAAGCCGGGCGACGACAAAGCAGGAGGCCCCTGCATGCTGCCGCGGGAAATCCAATAGCCTCACACCCATCACCCGGTTGTCTTTGACAGCCTGGTGATCTTTCTGATTGGCTTTGCGAGAATTGGAAACAGTCTTATTCCATGAACAAACAGCTGAAAACTCCATGTCCTGATGCCATCTCGAGATGGGCTATCACTTACAGCCACGTGACTTTAGGCAAGGAATTCACACCCTCTGGGTCTCAGTGTTTTAATCTACAAAGAAAAATAAGAGCACGCAGAGGTGCAGGAGGGAGGGGGGATTAGCTACTATTATTATCATATACTTCTTATTTCACCCACCCAACTGTCTCTTCGAATCGCTGTCTAAGACGTTTCTCCTTCACAAGTGAAATGCAAGCTTTCACTTAAATGCTTGCTGGCCTTTTTTGTTCCCTGCAGTCTGGCCCCTGCCATGTGTCGCCATTTTTATTTTTATGCTGCCCTTATCAAATGATTTCTCCGCCTTCCTTAGCCAAATCCCAAATCACCTCTTAAATGCTCCCTGCCCCTCACCAGCTTTCTTCTCCCCCACACCTATTCTCAATGTTCTCAACAACCAAGTTTCAAAGAGGTGAAAAACAAAGCCAGGGCAACCCAGCCAGCTGGCAGCCAACGCCCCATTTAAATCCATGTAGCATTGCAACCGTGTCCAGTTGCATGGTGTTAACTGGGCTACAGTAATTACAGTAATTATTCACTTTAAGGGTTCCCAGTGATTACCTTGTTTAAAAAAATTTTTTTTAAGTTTATTTATTTTGAGAGAAGCAGAGACAGTGTGAGCAGAGGAGGGACAGAGAGAGAGGATCCCAAGCAGGCCCTGCACTGTCAGCACAGAACCCCACGTAGAGCCTGAATTCATGAAACCATGAGATCATGACCTGAGCCAAAGCCAAGAATCAGATGTTCAACTGACTGAGCCACCCAGAAGCCCCTCCCAGTGATGATTTTAAATCTGAGGTTAGGGGCCCCTGGGTGGCTCAGTTGGTTGAGTGCCCAACTCTTGATTTCGGCTCAAGTCATGATCTCCTGGACTGAACCCCAAGTTGTGCTTTGTGCTGGCAGCATGAAGACTGCTTGGGATTCTCTGTCTCCCTCTCTCTGCCCCTCCCCTGCTCGCTCTCTCTCTCTCTCTCTCTCCGCCCCCCTCAAAATAAATAAAAACTTTTTTAAAAAAGTTTACATTTGAGGTTAGTTTCCCTTAACACCAAGCCTTCTCCTAGATGCTTCCCCTTCAATTTATTATCATAAAATAAGAATTACTTCAAATGCTTAGAAAGAAACACTGTCCCAGAAAATTATTAAATATATCTCAAAATTCTGGGAGTTTTTTTGAGTTTTGTTTTTGCTTGTTTTTAGTATTTCCCTAAAGTGGAGACAAATACTGGTTCCATAAGGCCTTAGCCAGGACTAGAAGACCTTGGAAGACTTTGGACATAGTTCACAGGAAGCAGAGGCATAAACTGTGACCACGGACAGTACTACATGAGTATCTGGAAGGGCTGGAGTATAGAATACAAGTGTCCACCTCTCTTTCTACAGCTAAATTAAATCTGATTTGTCTTTTAATCTGACTGAATGAGGACACGTGGAGATGGAAATTGTATTAATGTATTAATGTTGAAGAATCATGTTATCCCCCAAAATAATGGAAACTCTTAAGATGCGTAACAGGGTGTAATGTGTTGTTCTGTGTAAGAACCAAAGAGTTTCCCACAGTCCAACACTGAGGCCTGTAGGAAAAGACTGAAAGCTTGTATTCCCTCACCTGTAAAGCAGATGACTCACTGGAAAGGATGAGATGATGTATGGCTCACCGATAAACCACTATTTGTTTTTATTTATTTCTTAAGTAGAGTGGAGAACAGTGTAACTAGTCTCTGAAATCAGTGACGAAAGTTTGGTTCAAGTTCAACCTATCTGCCAGCTGACTGATCTGACACAAATAATTCAAACATATTTAACGACTAAAGAATTAAATGGATGGCAGGTATGCGTGTACGTGGGGGGGGTACCTTCTAAAAGAAATAGCTATATAAATGTAAGACGCCTTAGATTATATTGTACCAGGTTAAGTACACCAGGATCTTATGCTCATTTCTATTTCCTATTCTTTTGGAGAAAGAGAGAGACAGAAAGAGGGATTCTTATAGTAGAAACCCCGTTAATAGAAAATCGTTGCCACTACTTAATAGGTATGAAAAGAAATTTATTAACATAAAAATATATAATGAGATTATCAAATGAATAAAATTCATACTAAAAGATAACTCTAGAGGCACCTGGGTGGCTCAGTCAGTTAAGCACGTGACTTCAGCTCAGGTCATGATCTCACCGTTTGTGGGTTCAAGCCCCACTACCGGCTCTGGGCTGACAGCTCAGAGCCTGGAGTCTGCCTCAGATTCTGTGTCTCCTCCTCTCTCTGCTCATGCTCTCTCTCTCTCTCTTTCAAAAATAAATAAATAAAAGGTAACTCTACCTCAGTATACACTAATCAATATATGCTAATTCTCTCATACATACCCTCTCCTCTCATATGGAATAGTTGCCAGGATTCATTTTAAGTGTACCAACGATTGTGGAGATTTTCTCTATGGATCCGAACTAGTCAACCCACAGTCCAGGCCACAAATAAGAACGAAAATCTTTGGGGCACCTGGCTGGCTCAGTTCAGAAGAGCATGCAACTCTTGATCTCAGGGTTGTGGGGTTGAGCCACATGTGAGGTGTAGAGGTTACTTAAATGAATAATATTTTTTTAAAAAAGGAATGAAAATCTTTTTGTAGAAATATAACAGGTAAAGGCCAACTCCAGCAACATTCATTCATTCACAGACTCAGTCCCTACTTTCTATCAGGCTCTACAATCCAAAAGCACACAAAACACAGAAGTTCCTCCCACCATAGAACTCACATTCTCACAGGGAAACAGACAGTAAATAAGTAAGTAAACGATGCATTAGATCAATGCTGATTAAAAACTACAGAGAAAAGGGCCAAAAAGGGCTGCAATTCTAAGTAGGGCAGTCAAGGAAGGCTTCGCCAAGAAGTTGCTGTGTAAGCAAAGACCTAAAGTAGATGAGGAAGGCACATGGCTCTCTGGGGAGAGCAGTGTGACTATGCAAACCTTTCCAGCAAGTCCAGATAAGACAAAACCCAAGTGCTTACCTTTTAAAAGCGGCTGGAAGGTCGGAATCTCTTGCAATTTGATGACATCGGGATCGTTGCTGACATTCCGGGAAGGCTGGGAGCCTGGAGCTACAACCACGATATCGTCCATCTTGGCTCTGTGCTTAGCTGGAGAAGGAGTCACTGAAAACAAAGTTACACTGCTCACCAGCTGCATGTTAGTTAGCCTCCCCGTCTCACTAAAATACAGTCATTGAAAAGTATATTTTTACATACAAAAAAAACGCTAACTGTAGTCGGCCTGCAGTGAGGCTGGAAAAGGGGAGCTGAATCATTGGGGAATCTGTATTTTCTACTAAAAAACATCACAGGAACCTTTCACATGTATGAAATTGCTTTTGTAATTAAAAATATCGTATTATTCGGCCCATAAAAGTAGAAGGTAGATTATGTTTTTAATTTTTACTTTGATCCTCCTGACATTACCCCTATTTTACCAGTGAGGAAATGAGTGTACAAAATTTGGCTGTGACCTGCCCAAAGTCAATAGTGCTAGAAAAAGAATTAGGAAAGGAATTGGAGGTCTATGGGGTGTTGGTATACATGGCCCATCCCTGTGAAACTGAGGTTTGCCGGACTATCTGGCCACCTTGGCACAGCAAGCCAGGTGTATTTAATAGATCCTATTCGTGAGGGAAAAATCCGTAGTTCTCAGCCCTATATGAGATGGGTCTACTCCTGAGGCATCGACCCCCTGACCCTTACAATTACCAGCATTAGTCTAAGAAGAATAAACAGGAGGACCATTCTAGGCTGAAGCCAAAGTCAGAAATTTGTAGGACCCCTAGAGAGGTAGGTCAATTTCAGGTCTGTTGCAAGAAAGCAAAGCATTGGGAGGAACTGATTCAAACTACCAACAACTTTCTAGACCAAGATACCTTCCTCTCCTCGATATCCTCCAGGTTGGGGCAAGAATAAACCTTTAAAGCAGTTTACCCTCTAGATGGTACTATTTGTAGGCTCATCACAGTTACGTCTCAAAGGTTGATGCAGGGGTGCCGCAGAAGTGCCCTGGTTCCTGGAGGCTAGAACCTCCGTGGCTTGGCAGCCCCTCTTTTAGAATCTCTGCTACTTTTCTTGCTTGTCAGGAAGTATCTCTTAACCTCTTTTGCTAATTTACTTACATGTCACAAATCCCAAGCCAAAAATCTTTCTTACTACAAAGTAACTGATTTCTTCTTCCCCAGACCCCACCGGGAAAACAGATTTCACTAGATTCTAACTAACCTCTATCACCTTGCCTGTAAAATGGGGCTGGGTGAGGATTAGATATATAAGTATGCAAACCACTTAGCACAGGGGAATCGGACAAATTCTAACCTCTGCTCTTGGGGAGTTTGCTACAGTACCAGTTAGAGCTCATGCTGTTGGTTAGTAGGTGAGCAAGCAGAATTTTTAAGATGCCATGCTTCTTCCCCTCAAATAGGCTTCTAGCAGGACATGGGGCAAGAAAATAAACAGTAAGAACTATTACTGTGTTTGCTGTACCAGATCAGATATAACAAGTCTTCCAAGGAAACAAGAATGTAGCGGGGCGCCTGGGTGGCTTAGTCGGTTAAGCGTCCAACTTTCACTTAGGTCATGATCGCGCGGTTCGTGGGTTCGAGCCCCGCGTCGGGCTCTGTGCAGACTGCCAGCTCAGAGCCTGGAGCCTGTTTCAGTCTGTGACTCCCTCTCTCTCTGACCCTCCCCTGCTCACGCTGTCTCTCTCTCTCTCCTAGAAATAAATAAAACATTAAAAAAAAAAAAAAAGAATGTAGCAAAGCTAGTGGAGGCTGCTCACCACTAAAATGTGTCCCAATCTAGCCTCCCAAATGAGGAACCAGTCTTAAAGGACACACTTTAGTGTGGACTAATCCTCTGTCAGCTTCTACGTTTCTGAATTACAGATCCTACCAGGAATTAAAGACAGCCGTAGACTCAATGTCTCTAGCACCTTTCTTTGTGCAAGCGTAAAACAGGGTTTAAAGTGTTATAATACATACAAGTATCTAATCATTAGACTGTACACCTGAAACTGTTATATTCAGACCCCAGATTTAATCCAATTTGGATTAGAATCTCAAGCAGGGCCAGTTGTGCTCGAGTTGGTCGCCAGACAACAACGGAGCACTGAATCCTCAATTAAGTATCAACTGTTTTATTTATCGACTGCTTACTATATTCCTAGCACAATAATCTTCCCATTCCTAACTCAAATGCCGGGAGAAATCTTAAAAATACGAACAGGGTGAAAATAGAGAAAAACACCGGAGCGTGCGGTGCTGGCCAACTCCTATCATAATAGAAAGCGAGTCGCGACACCTTCTTAAGAGAAAATGCAGTTTCTGGAGATGTTTGCACCCAAGGGTTAAAAACATCCTTTCTGAAACGGCACACGTTCTTAGAGATCCCGTCTCCGGTCCATCTGCTGTGTGAGCCAAATCTGTGTCAGTCACGACTACTCAGGCCAAAAGTTAATTCGGTCTTTTCAAGAGGAGGCAAAGCTGGGAGAAACGGCTGTTTTGACAACAAGCAAGGGGCGTGGGCGCACACGCTGACTGAGCTTGCAGTCCCAGGCACCCCCGTCAGGGGAACGACGACTAGGACAGACGGTGACTTTTTTCTCTTTCTCAAGAAAAAAGTGCGGTGAGGGCTCTCCGTGCGTTCGTGTCCACGGCCCTAGCCCCCCCTGGGTTGGGAGGCAGCCGCCTCCGCCCGCGGACGAGGCCGGCGGGAGGAGGCTGGGAGTTAGGACACCGACCTGAGGAGTTCAGATCGCTGGGTCGGCTCTCGACCTCGGAGCTCTGCTCACTGCCCATGGCGACGGCAGCGCGGGCAGCGGAGGCACGGCGGGCCAGGCGGTCACCGCTGCGGCGGCGGGACGACCGGGCAGGGGCCGGGGACCGACACGGGGATGCTACACCAAACGTGGGCGCCGCAGCAGGGCCGACTGTGGGGACGACGCGCCCAGCCCACTCAGGTGCGCCGGCGGAGGGGGATGGGACGCCCTATTGGGGGACCGACGAGCCCAGCGGCGCAGCGCGGCTGCACGCCGTGTTTGCCCGCGCTCTTTGGGGGACCCTAAGGGCAGGAGGTGGAGGGCGCCCGGCTTCAGCCGCGCCCGCGGCCGGCGGGCGGCGCCGCTTTCACTCACTCGCTCCGGCGCCGCAAGCTCGCTCCTTCCGGGACGCGGATTGGCCGCGCCGGGTGCGCGCGGCCGTCAGTTCCGGGTTGGAGGCCACCCCCGGCCCCCCCCCCCCCCGCCGACACACACACCACCGCGCCCCCGCCCCAGGAAGGGCGGGGAGAGTGTAACCACCCTTAAAGGGCCCCGCCACCTCAAAGCCCGAACCACCGCCCCTAAAGAGTAAGGCCTTCCCTACTGTAAGGATGCGTCGCCTTTAAGTATCACCCATCTGTTGGCACTATATTGTTAGAACTTTGTAAAATGGGGCGTGGGGATTGTTTTGTTAAGATAAAATTGACAAATTCTATTAGCTTCAGGTGTACAGCGTAATGATTCAGTATTTGTATATATTGCAAAATTTTAAATCTTGTTTACAGGTGGAGAAAGAAAGGTGCCAGATAGATTTAGGGTTAGAATTCACAACTGTCTGGACGCAGAGCTCCTATTTCAGTTTCAGAACGTAGGCATTTGGCAGTGGACAACCATAAAAAATATAGATGGTGAAGGAAGGAGCTGGAAATGAGAGATAAATGAAGAAATTGAAAATACTGATTCAGAGCACCTGGGTGGCTCAGTCCATTAAGCATCCCACGTCAGCTCAGGTCATAAACTCACAGCTCGGGAGTTCTGAGCCCCACGTCAGTTTCCGTGCTGACAGCTCAGAGCCTGGAGCCTGCTTAGATTATCTGTCTCCACCTCTCTTTGCCCCTCCCCGACTTGTGCTCTGTCTCTCTGTCTCAAAAATAAAAACATTTTTTAACAATTAAAAAAAAGGAAAATACTGATTCACATGTTAGGGTGTGTGTATCCTCAAAGGGACATGGATGCCCCTATAACTAGGCATTTTCTGCGAACCTTGGCAATTATCCACAGGCCGTTCCAAAACCAGCAAAGGTGAGGGAGGAGTACAAAGGATGCAAAATGGGAGCTGTAAGTTTGGGCAGACCAACGACAGAGACCTGGCAAGGCAATGCCACCAAGGAGTTGGGTGGCTTTGTGGTTCTCAGAATTTTACAACTCATTTTATATCATTTCTTTCAGGAAATTTCAAGCAAATGCTCTAACATTTTTTATTTATAAATATAATCTCAGAAGGAATGCCAAATGAATTGTACGATTAAGCCCCTTCTATTCTACAGTATCCTAGACATTTGCCCTGTGTCACCTCATTGAACTTTCAAAGCAGCCCTACAGCCCACAAACAGGTAACCTTCCTCAGGTAGTAAATGGTAGAACCAGGATTTAGGACTGTCTGATTTCAAACCCATACTTTTTCCTCTAGTCACCATTGCAATACTCTGAGAAAATTGCAAATGAATGTAAATTCAGTATTTGGTGGGAATATGAAGAAAGAACTAAAAACTGCCCAAGAGATCAAGGAGGCTCCTAGGAGGTGGTATTTGACTATGGTCTTGAGATTTGCATAAGCCATCAAGCTGATGGACCATTCCTTCCTGGAGAGCCCCTAACTCCTCTCCCAGGTTTGCCCTCTTTGGGGGTGGGCAAAAGAGAGAGTACAACTCATTCTGGTTCTTGTTTCCCCTTTCCCACATGAGACTATATTTATCTTGTGTTCCATGCCTTAATCCACCCTGATGTGGTAGATTTTTTTATGCTTCCCATTGGGTGAACACTTCATTCTAAAGTGAACATTCTAAAATTCTCAACTGACGAATGATCAAATATATCATCCTATTCTCTCCTGGCCTGCGAGGTTGCTGCCGAAAAAATCTCACCTTATAGAACTCCTATATGGGTGGCTTAGTAGGTTGAGCATCCAACTCCTGGTTCAGCTCAGGTCATGATCTCATGGTTTCATGGGTTCAAGCCCCACACCAGGCTCCATGCCGGCAGTGGGGAGCCTGCTTGGGATTCTCTCTCTGCCCCTTCCCCTCCCCTGCTTGCACACACCCGTGCACACTCACTCTCTTTCAACAATAAACTTAAAAAAATTATCTTTGTTTTTGATATTAGTTTTAATTATAGCATGTGTTGGAGGAGATTGTTTTGTTTTTTTTTTGTTTTTTTTTTTAAATGTTTTATTTATTTCTAGGAGAGAGAGAGAGAGACCACGTGAGCAGGGGAGGGTCAGAGAGAGAGGGAGTCACAGACTGAAACAGGCTCCAGGCTCTGAGCTGGCAGTCAGCACAGAGCCCGACGCGGGGCTCGAACCCACGAACCGCGAGATCATGACCCAAGCGAAAGTCGGACGCTCAACCGACTAAGCCACCCAGGCGCCCCTGGAGGAGATTGTTTTGGATTGAAATTTTGGGTTGACCTATTAGCTTCATAATCTTGGATATCCAAATTTCTCCCCAGGTTTGGAAAATTCTCAACCATCATTTCTTTAAAGAAACTTTCTACCCCCTTTCCTCCCCTTTTCTCTTCCTAGAATTCCCATGATATATACATTGTTTCTCTTAATGGTGCCCCAAAGTCCCATAGGGACTTTCTTCATTCCTTTTCATTCTTTTTTTCTTTTTTCTCCTCTGATTGGGTGATTTCAATTGATCTGTCTTCTAGTTCATTGATTCGTTCCTCTGTTTGATCAAGTCCAAGCTTGCAGCTCTGTACTAAATTCTTCAATTCAATCATTATATTTTTCAGCTCCAGAATTTGTTTGGTTCTTTTTAATGTTTTTTATATCTTTGCTGAACTTCTCATTATGTTCCTGTATTGTTTCCCTGATATCATTAAATCGTTCATTCATGTACTCTTGCTCTCTGAACATCTTTAGAACAATTATTTTGCTTTCTTGAACAATGCCTGGCTCTCCATTTCCTCTGGAGACTAGTTACTGGAAATGGATTGTGTTCCTTTGCTAAAGTCATGTATCCCTGATTCTTCATGATTCCCGTATTCTTACGTAGGCATCTGCACATTTAAAGAAACAGTCACCTCCAAACTTTATGGACTGACTTTGATAAAAGAAGACTCTCACCTGTGGGTGAGGGCATGTTAGAACTTTCTGTGACCCTAGGTCTAGTGGTGCACAATACCAAGTGTGGAGGTGTGTGGCAGCTCTGGTTCTGGGAAGGAGAAGGCATGATGTCTCTTTGTCTTAGACCACTGGGGTCCAAAGCATTAACAACCATCTGGTGAACACTGCAGCAGTTTGCAGTGTCTGCAAGGGCAGTTGGGGTGCTCAGCAGCACCTCTACGTCCAGCAGCTAGGAACTTTGTCAGGAGAAGGGGCACGTGGTAGTGTGTCGTATATATGCACTTGGCTGTGAGGGGCCAGCTACAGACATGCATGGAGCAGTCCAAGCCAGGGCAGGCAGTAAGGGCCAGTGTCAACTACATGCTCAATGGCAGCTGCAGGGACCCTGGCTGGGGGCAGCCACTGACATGGCTGCTAGATCTTGTCAGGTGCATAGCAGTGGAGACCAGTGGCCGGGGGTAGGTCTAGAGGTGTCCAGGAGCACAGCTGAAGGGTCTAGCTGCAGGTAAGCACAGCGACACAGGCCATGACAGAAGACAGTCCATGACAGAAGAGGTCCAGCCCCACAAACAGCTGCAAAGGCCCTGGCTATCAGTGTGCTCGCCTGTGGCTGAGCTCCCTCCCTTCAGGCATGCGCACAGCGGTGGAGTCTGCCTACGGCTATCAGGCAGGTGGTGTGCAAGCATGCAGCTAGAGGGACTAGCCCTGAGTGCACACACACGATGGAGATCACGGGGGTCTAGGCGGGCGTCTTGCACTTGCACAGCTGCCTAGGCTGGCTTCCACTGTGGTTCCTGGGCTGGGCTGAAGGTAGGAGGGAGCAGGGATGGAATCAGGTGGAAGATGCTAGTGAATACGAATGCCTGTGAGGCAGAAGCTGGCAGGATCTGCAAGGGGGTCCGTGGCCCTTTGCACTAGCCATTGGCGTCTTCAGCGGCAGAAGCTGCTTGGTTTGGGTCCAAAGCAGGTCACTATGAACCATGATTGCTCCAGTTGCGTGGCACCAAGGAAGACCTTGTGCCTAGCAGCTTCTATATGTCTATTTGTCTCACCTGTGCCAGACTGGGAGGGGTGAGATTGAGGTGGGACCTTTGTGCACTCTCCTGAAAGTCTGGGGAAGCTGGTTATGCACTCCACTCTTCCTTTCCTGGCAAGGAGAACTCTTTCTAATTTTTTAATGTTTGTTTTTTATTTTTCTTAACTTTTATTTATTTTTGAGAGACAGAGAAGAGAGCAAGAGTGGGGGAGGGGCAGAGAGAGAGAGGGAGACACAGAAGCCAAAGCAGGCTCCAGGCTCTGAGCTCGCCCAAAGTCAGCACAAAGCTCGTTCAAAGCCAGCTCAGCTTGAACTCATGAACTGTGAGATCATGACTTAAGCTGAAGTCGGAGGCTTAACCAACTGAGCCACCCAGGCGCCCCTTAATGTTTATTATTGAGAGAGAGAGACAGTGCGAGCAGGGAGGGGCAGAGAGAGAGGGAGACACGGAATCTAAAGCAGGCTCCAGGCTCTGAGCTGTCAGCAAGAGCCCGAACTAGGGCTCAAACTCACAAACTGTGAGATCGTGACCTGAGCCGAAGTTGAACCCTCAACCAACCAAGCCACCCAGGTGCCCCAAGGAGAACTCTTTCTAGCTGGGAGGTTTCCTCTTGGTGCTGAGCAGTGCCGGCTTAGAGGATAGGATGATGCAATTAAAATGAAGCTATCTTCCTTCTCCGCATGTGTGATTATTCTCAAGTTTTTTGGTGTACTGTGTTGTTGATGTTTCTTGAGTAAACTCCAGAGGTCTCCCAGAGCTGCTTTCATTGTAGGTAACTGTCTAACGATTTATCTTTTGGGGGGACAGAGGCTGAGATTTCCTACATTACCATTTTTTTCAGAACGGGTAAATACAATGTGGTAGATCCATATAATAGAATAGTATTTGCCCTTCACTAACGAATGAAGTACTAAAACGTGCTACAATAGGGATAAACCTTAAAAACATTCTATTGGAAAAGGGCCCATCACAAAAGATCACAT